CCTGCCGCCCGCTGCTCCCCTCAGCAGTGTACTTCGGTCCTTCTGCCTGCTCTGCTCCCCGCTCTGGCTCTGGTGAATTCTCTCACCCTCCTGCGCTTCTGACTGTACCCAGTGCATGTATAAACCAAACAAACAAACAAATAATAAATAAAATAAATAAGACATGCCTCTAGAAAATTAAAAAAAAAAAAAAAAAATAAAAAATATATAGATTAAGTGCAGAAAATAGGCCAGGATGTTAAATAATTTTGCTCCACTGATGGAAGTGGTGGCTTCTTAAGATAATTTTCCACTTCCAGGATGTTTCTGAAATAAAAGGGTCTTTCCTTTTTAGAACTTTAGAATTATGTTATTATTTTTTGCTTTATCAAGACGGACAAGCCGAAAGTGTCAATGAACCTGTAAATGAAAAACCAGAAAAACATAATAAAAAAACCTAGATTTAAGTGTATAAATTTGGTAGATGAAAAATGCTCTCCTCAAAACTACCTAGTCAGCAGAACCAGTCTAAATCTGGGAATGCAGTAACTACAGCTGCTGCCAGTGGGAGAGAAGTAGGTGTTGCTTGAAAAGAAACTCCTGAGACAAAATGTGGAACATCCTTTCTAAACACTACCCACCCCACAAGATACCTGTCTAACTTTGGCCCCATAATTTTTTCCTTTAAAGACAGTTTGTTTTTTTGTTGTTTATGATTTCAAGAATATAAAAATTTGGGGGTAGAAAGATAAGCTTGATTCAGGGTTATCTGTTCTGGCCTCCAGCCCATACACTAGCCGGAAGCCACCCTACCCTAGTTAGCTCAGAAAAGAAGTAGAGTTTGAGAGTCACAGGATGTTGGCTCTTTTAACAAAAGGCTCCACTGCCAAGAGTTTTATTTTATAGATTAAAGTTGAGTCCCATATAAAAGCATATCAACTTATCCAAAGAAAGGCAATTAGCTAAATGACCATAATATTTTTTGTTTGTTTACTTAAAAAACTAAATTTGAGGCAATGCATCCTAAATATATATATATATATATATTTACAGAAACTATTTTTTAAAACAAAAACAACATTCACTAAAAGCTGTCTGTGAAAATTCAACCTATAATGTAGAAAGGACTAAGAGTATAACTAAAACTATGGTTGATAGTCACAACCATTTAACTCTTTTTAAAGTGATTCACACTTCAAACAAACTTCAGAACAATCAAATGCACTAGTTGGTTACTTATACTTCATTCAGTGTCTCACATCTGAGTGTTTATTATGCAGCTCAGACACTATATAAAATGTCCTGCATTATGTCATTTACAAGAATTGAAAAACTTAAAATCCATAGGTTAAAAATTAGTCACATACTGTAAAAATAAGAAAATTCTTATTTTCTTAATGAAAGCAAGATGTGGAAAAATCAAGACAAAAAAAAGTCCTACAAATATAATAACAAAACAAATCCCCACATCCTCCCTTCTAAAAAACTAAGCGTTTTCCTTTTTTCTACAGTAAGAGCATCTTTACTATCTGTAGGCTACATACTCAAAAACAGACAGCATTTCTTTCTCTTTCTCTTTTTGTGTCTCCTCTCTCTCTTCCTCTCCCTCCCCATCCTTCCACCACCCACTCTGCACCTTCTATAAATTCAAGAACAGGTTAAGTACAAATAGTGGTAGAAATTTTACCAATAAAGTAACAGAAAACCTCCATGTTGCCAAACACTTCAACACCTCAAGAATGCTAGTACACAATAAATACAACATTATCTCCCAACACAATTTTTAATAGGATTATGGCTTATTTGCAAAATAGAGTAGTTGCTTGACATATATCTAAAACATAATAATGTTTTAGAAGATAATTTTATGGCAGATAAGCTGCTATAAGCTAATAAAAACTATCCAAAAATGGGACGAGTGTTGTATTTTCATATTTTTAAATACTACAAATCTATAAAGCTTAAATATTGATATATTAGGTATACGTGTTAACATATCTTAGACAATGCTGTTCAAGTCTCCCTTTGAGGTATATTAGAAACTACTTTTGATTATTTCTTAAAATTGAGAGGCAAATTTAATGGGTTAATAATTACATAAAATTCATAACTTTTTCAGTTCTTTCTGCAGCACCTTATTAAAGGAAATTTTGAAGTGGTTATTTTGGAGGTATAATTACCACATTAGAACTTTTGTTAAGAACAGTTTAAACTAAGTTCAGAAGACCTTTTTTCCAGAGTAGTTAACTTTGAAACAATATTAGAAAAATCCAGCTACCAGCAGTCCAAAAATTCAATAAGTAGCTCCCTCTCCTGGAAAAAAAAAAAAAAAAAAAAAAGGCGAGTTCCTCTTCAAGCTGTAAAACACTCTAAAATTAAAAAAAAAATACACGAATCAAAAAAATATAAATAACTAAAAGTGACTGAGCTTTTCTACCATTATCAATTAACAATCCCAACACAACTATAATCCGTTAAAGTTTTACAGAAATCTGTATAAATACTAAACTGTATGTTTACCTAGCTAGCAAAAAAGTAATGATCATCATAATTTGACTTTAGTAGCAATTTGCATACTTAACAGAATTTGAGATTCCTTTCATTTTAGAGGGTTTTTTAAAAAGCCATCATTAACCCTAAATTATATTGTTCTTACTTAACTCTATAAGTTTGTATTAAAGAGGTTCTATAAACAAAGTAGCAGTTCTACCAAGTTCTCTTTTTTAAAAATATGTCTCCTCTACTTGCTTGCTCTTCAGGTTAAAAAAAATAATTAAGCACACCAATATGACTGACTGATTCTAAAGACCCTAAATTTATGTTTCACACAGTATGTAATTAGCTATAAAGTATTAGTACTTTTCCTGAGAACTGGGTTGATTAAAAACGCAATTTACAAATGTCACAGTCAACTATGCTGATACATATATTACCTCTCACAGATTACCAAATTCGTACCCTATAATCCAAACATCCACCCACTCAGAGCAACTGTATCTCTAAATTTAAATTACAAGTAAACAATTTTTGTCTTAAGTTGATGTTTGTTACTAAAGACGGAAATGATGGAAGGGTAAGCTTGAGGGAAGAGTTAATCAGAAAATAAAATAGAAGCACACTTGACTATCACTTAAATCCTAAATTGATAATGTCAACACAACTTAAAAATGTCCTGGAAAATACAGATTCACCTTTGCAAATCAAGCGTCAATGTATCTCATATTCATGAGATGTCATGATGATATTTATAAGGAAATGGACACACCATCATTAAAATATTTATCTAATATTAGTTGTTTCTAATACAGCACACTCAGAATTACCTAATAAAATAATTCTTCCAATAGGTTGTGACTATGTGTATTACCACTAAGACAGCCCCTTACTAAATTCTGAATCCCAGAGAATTTGATAGACTATCTACTCAGCTAAAGCCTTCTCCAGGGAGAAGGTTTTGCTAATATAAACAGTTAAGATTTCTATTTCTCAAAGGAAAAGGCAACTTAAAAAAAGAGTTTCAATTCAAAGATGTATTTATCTCATAAATACAGATTCAAGTTTTAAAGCTGACTAGATTTGGAACTACCAAATAAAGTCATTTCTTCTAGGGAAATTTAAGCAGTTTTCCACTGTTAAAAAGAGAGCAGTATTTCATTTAAAATCTTCAAAATCCATTCATTACATGTATTCTAGGACACTGTAAAATTTAAAGTCCCACATGAATATTTTGTTTGAGACAAGGTATTTGTGTTTGAATTACCTGGCTGAACTAACCAAAGGAAGCTGGTTTGTTTCTCTTAGCTATGGGGCAACAAGAAATTTTAAATGTAAGCAAGCAATATAAATGAATACTACACATTCCTATTCACGCACTTAAGATTTAAAAAAAAAAAAAAGTCCTGAACAAACCCTAGTTACATTCCTAGCTAGAAAAGGCGTGAGGTACCCCCAAATTACTTGTGGTGAATTTAAAGTCATTTCCCCCTCGCTTTTAAAATACAGGAAAGCGCTAGGGAAAAGAAGCAAGTTAACTTGCCCTGAGGCTATCAGAGGGATCACGACCCCCCAGGTGTATCCACTATCCCAGCACCCCGCACAACAATCCAGTGGGAAGGTGTAGACTCTCAGTAACTAGTCTAAAAGTAAGCATTTTTTTTTTGGGGGGGGGGGCTTCTTTTCTTTTTGCTGTCACTACTAATAAGGTTCCAACCTACTCTTTAAAAAGTAAGAACTGCTTTCAAAATAAAGTCAAGACAGGCAATAATTCAACTAGGAGAGAAGCTTCCTTCCCAGTTTCTCAACCCGGCCTAGAATTTCTTCTTTCTGCAGCCTAATTATCAGACGAACAGGGCAGGTCACAGCACCAAGGGTGAAAATGCCCATCGGGGCCTTAAACCTTCCCAGCCCCAAAAGCAACGCCGCATTCTTTCCTCCTCTTCCTCACCCCACCCCAGGCACAGCTCCAGCATCAACCGCAGCCCAGACCATAGGCCCCACTCTCTGACCTGATCTCCCCCAGCTTGTCCCCAAAATAAGCTTCTCCAGTGACTACCGGCTAAACGAGCTCAGGATAAAACAAAGACTGGTGCTGAAGTTAGACCAGCCACGTGGGGTAACAGTGGGGCGAAAAGCAACAACAACACTAGACCAAGAAAGGTCCCGGGGCTCGGGAGCAGACTGCGCCGGGCAAGGGCAAGCCCCGGCGGGTAAAGCTGAAAGGCGAGGAGGAGGGCCCGAGAAAACTCGCTGGAGAGACATTTTGCGAGCTTGCGAGACCGGCTCCCTCTGGCGTTCAAGGATCCGCGGCCAGACCCGAGACGCGCCCAGGTGGCGGGGAAGAGCCCACGCTCCACGCGCCGGGTCGCCTCCCGCGACTCCGCCGGGCGCCCCGGGGCCCCCGAGAGCCGCCCCTTCGCGCGCTCGCAGCCGCGCCGGCCCGGCCCGGTCCAAGCCGACGGAGCCGCTCCGGCCGACTCGCGGGGCCCCTCGGCCAGGACGCCCCCGCCCGAGCTCACGCCTACCTGTAGCACCAGCGGCTCGGGGTTGAAGGCCAGCGTCAGCAGGAGCTGCATGCGCTCCGAGTCCTTGAGGTTGCGGAGCAGGAAGCTGCCGGAGTCCTTGGTCTCGGCGTAGCGGCGCACCAGGCGGTCGAGCAGGCGCTGCGAGGGGCAGTGCACCAGGTCGGACCAGCCCTCCACCGCCTCGGGCGTGAGCAGCCGCACGTCGCCGTTGAGACGCGCGAACTCGGTGCGGGGCATGGCCTGGAGCAGGTCGCAGCGGGGCCGGCCGGTGGCCCGCTTGCAGATGCTCTGGTCGAGCTGCGCCAGCTCGCGCTGCGAGCCCAGGCGCTTGAGCACCACGCGGCGGCGGCCGCCCTCGCGGGGCTCGCCGTACTGCGCGAAGTAGACGTTCTTCACGTTGAGGAAGTCCAGCAGGCGCAGGCGGCCCCACGCCTCGAACACCACCTGCCCGTTGAGGAAGCGGCGGCACCAGCTCGTGCCGAAGCACGCCGGGCACTTATTGAGCTGCAGGAAGCGGCGGTCGGCCAGCTCGTTGCGCTGCCAGGAGGCCAGCAGCGACGGCGAGTGCAGCACCATCAGCACCAACAGGCTGCCCAGCGCCGCCAGCTTCAGCGAGCGGGACAGGCGGCCCAGCTTCGGGGGCACCAGGCGCCACATCCCGCCCGCCGCCGCCCGTCCGCCCTCACCGGGAGGGCGAGGGCACCCCCGGGGCGCCCCCGCCGCGCCGAGACTCTGACAGCCGCGGGCAGGGGCCCCCGGGCGACCCGCGGCGCGGGCGCGGGCTGGAGGCGAGTGGTGTGTGCGAGGGAGACGGGGAGCGGGAAGGCGCGACCCGAGCCGGCTGCGACTTCTCCCAGTCACTAGTCTCTACAACTCTGGAGCTCCCTCCTCCGAGCTCCCCGCCCTCCGACTCCGCGGGCGCCTCCTCCTCGCCAGCCAAGTTATAGAGGCGCGGGAGGGGGAGGGAGCGCGGGGGGGGAGGGAGCGCGGGGACCCGACGGCCGCGCGCCCGCGTCCGCCCGCGCGCGCGCACGCGCACTGCTCGCTCTGCGGCGCCGTCCGCCCGAGGGGCGAGCGGGCGGCCGGGGCGAGGAAAGAGGGACTCACGGAAGGGGGGGAGACGCAGGAATGTCTCCCATCGGGAAGTAGCAACAGTGTAGGAAGGTGGGAAGACTGAGGCGCCCGCGTGTCCCGGACGCCGCACGTCCCAGCTCGCACACGCCGGCCCTCCAGAGATGGAGCGGGCGCCAGGGGGCGGGGCCGGCGGGCGGGGCGAGCGCGTCCGCGCCTCCCGGAAGCGTGAGCGCGGGCTCGCGGGGGCGACCTCGGGGCCGCCCCGGAGGGCGGGGCTCGGGCTGAGGGGGAGGGCTCAGCGCGCGGCTCTGAAGGTGAAGGGATACTCGGTAATACTTCATCTTTCATGGCTGCTGACTTTTACTGGGACCTTTTTTCTGGCGCTGTGGAAACACCTCTCCGAGAGGCCACACCACAGATTGCGGGAGCCCAGCGCGAGCCCCCACCCCTCATGGCGCGCGCGGGGCGGAGGCGGGTGGGCGGGGCCGCGGGCTCCCGCGCCTTCCACCGCCGAGGCTCGCGGCCGGGGGGCGGGGGACGGGGGGCGGGGCTGCCGGCGGGAGCTCGTCGCCCCCCGGGCGCGCGCCCCGGCTCGGGGAGGCCCGTGGAGAAGTCGGTGGGTGAGCTGAGTTGTGACGTCCCGGCTGGGGGCTTTCCCGTTGACCTCTGACTTATTGGTGGAGGTCTCGGAAATGTCCCTGCGTCGCGTGGAGAAAAGAAGTCCCGAAAGACTTCGTGGAGGAGGAAAAGTGAGATGAGGGGGGACCCGACGCGGCCCGGGGTCGCCGGGGGTCCTGCCCCCTCCGCCGCGAAGGTGCGGGGGGAGATCGCTCTGGTCTGCCCCCAGCCCCCGGACCGCTTCCCAGCCCGGCGCTGAAGCGCTTCCTCTCACTCGCGAAGCCAATTTCCTGGCGCCGCCCCGGAGGGTCTCGGAGGAGGGGGCGGGCGCCCGCCCCTCCCCCCGGGCCGCCGCGCGTTGCTGTGGCGGTCGCCATGGGAACCGGGGACCGCCTGGTGCTCCACACGGGCGCGTTGGCTCGGATTCACGCCGCACTGCAAAAATAACCCAGAGCTACGAACTGCGGCGCCTTATTATGGTATAAGTTTTAGGGGGCTCGGATTCTTTAGCAGTTAAACTGCGAAGGTGTAATTTACTACGATGCGTTTTCGTTTTAGCACTGGGAGCGTTCACATGAGTAGTCAGATTGACTTTTCTGTATTGTGCTTAGTAATTAGTTGATCCCCTAAGGCAAAGAGCCTCTTGAGAAGTACTGTTGAGGTTAATGTTTTGTCCTTCGTGATATAAGAATATCTTTTTATATCTTTTTGACATAGATGTGAATTTTAAGTGATACACATGGAATTCAGGTTGGAAGATTTACTTCCAAGCCTTTTTCAAAGTGACAAGAAATTTGGCTGCTACAGCTTCGAACTTGATGTCGCTTTGGCAGTAATTAAATTTAACTTGCCTTCCATACAATGTGGCGTTGTGAGCAATTTCTCAAATGAGGATTTCATAAGAAAAGCGTTTGGTTTGATTACTCTAGAAAAGTCAGCTTTGCTGCTGGTGCTGAATTGTAAACTAGGAAAGTAATTACCAAACTGCAGATTTCTTATCGCTAACACTTCTACTTGGGTCCATTAAAACTAAATAGTTTATAGGGAATGACTTTAAAACTACAAATATATATACATTAATATAATATATAAAAATATACATATTTATAGTTAAATGAATGTTTCTGTTGGCATTTTTTTCTGGTAACTATTGAGAGTGACTGTTTATATGTAAAGACTACTAAAAGGATTAAGGCAGCACTGCTTCCCTATATAGAAAAGGTCTTTCGAGTTCTTAAGCTTTACTCAGCCTCCAAATCCTTGGAATTTATATAGGATCATTTGAAGAGTGGAATTAAAAATGATTACTAGTCTATACAAATTTAATTTTGAGGAATATTTTGCATAGTATCTAAATATTTTACTTTGGGGGGAGAATTTTTTTTTTTTTTTAAGATTGATTTATTTATACAAGATCTGGGATACAGACCGGAGGCCCTGGAGGGTGAGCCGATTCACCAGAGATAGCAGGGAGCAGAACAGGCAGACAGAGGAAAGCACTGCTGAGGGGAGCAGCTGGCAAGGCAGGAGAGGTCTGCTGTGCCATGTGAATATCTCCCTGGCCGGCCAGGAATCAAACCCGAGCTGCAGAGGCTGCAGACAGCTTCACAGCGCTGCGCTCAACCCCCTGAGCCACCAGGGAGGCCCTAAATATTTTACTTTAGTTGAAAAGTCCTGATATTCTTTTCAGTTAAGTTTTAGACTTATCAGAAAAGATATTCTTCAGGAACTTACACATTCCTCATAAGGGAAAACAAAGTCTTAGAGTTATATTTAAAACCTCAGTATTCTAAATTAATAGGGTTTAGAAAAAAAGATTGCTTTTGGCTAATGGATTATACAAGCTAACATCCAAAGTCTTCCTCGTATGTTTAAATTATGACAAATAATATAATTTCCAGTGCTTTGTGAAATGTTATCTCACAATAACTTTTTAAAATGTATCTATCTGTAATTAAATTAGTATTTTTGTACCCACTTCCATCCATTTTTTAAAAAGTAAACTATCTTTTGATAGTAATTTTATGTTGTATTGCTATTCTATGCCCTGTAGCTTCTCAGCTATCCCCTACTGTTGCCCCCCACAGGACTTTTGGCAATATCTGGAGATACTTTTGGTTTATAAGTTTAGGGAGCAGGGGTTGTGGCATCTAGTGGGAAGAGGTCAGGTATCTGGACTCCTACATTCTACATTGCCCAAGACCAGTCCAAAATGTCAATAGTGCTGTGCTATTAAGAAACCCTGACCTATAGAACTTTCTTGTATAGTATGGTTTTAGACATGGAAGTAATTATCAATTTATCCTGTAGCAAAAGTATGTAAATATTTAAGTTTATTGCATATCTAGTAATCTTAATGTTCTTAATGCTATATCAATTCAGATAATTTTTTATCAATAGAACTATTGTAATATAGTATACACCTGTTCAAAATGTAAATAACACAACTTTGAGTAATTCTAAAAAGTAATGTTTTATTGAAACGTATTTTTTTTAAGATTTATTTATTTATGCATACAAGAGCTGGGGTACAGGCCAGAGGTGTAGGGGGGCAGGGTGAGAGGATTCACCAGAGACGGAGTGGGGAACAGAACAGGCAGACTGTGAAAAGCACTGCCGAGAGGAGCAGGGGGCAAGCCAGAAGAGGTCTGCTGCCCCATGTGAACAGCTCCCTGGCTGGCTGTGGCTGGAACTCTTGCTGCAGTAGCTACTGATAGCTTCATAGTTGAATCTTAACCCCTTTCACCATCAGTGAGGGCCTGAAATGTATTTCTCACTAAGGTTGTGTAACAGGGTGGTCTCCAGGAAAGGGGGAGGTTTCAGGTTTCCTGCCCCAGCGAAGGGAGGGTGGAGCTGAGCAGAGAGGAGAAGGAGCTGGAGAGGAGACTGAAAGAAGGAAGCAGGATGGGGAGCCTGAGGGAGACCTGGAGGAGACACATGGAATGGAGAGACATGTGAAGAAACTGCATTTGCCTTTTGGTGGTGAACTGGTTGACATAGATGTGGGTGAGAGACCCATGGGGAGGATAACAATGGCGGTTTTTGTATTTTGATTTTGCTCTTTTCCTCCCAGACTTGTCTGTTTCTAACCATTTTCTATGTGTCTCCACTGGAAGGTGCTTTAGACTAGTGGCAGGCTTTCGGGCCTTGCTCTGGGCCAATCCCGTTTGGGTGGACTTTTACCCATGAGGGGACGGGTAACTTTGGGTGCTTGACTTAGTAACTATATTCTTTGCCTTTCCTGTATTGTTTACTAACTATTAAAGTTCCTTTTCATTAACGTCTCATATGTTTTGTGTTGATGCGGCTGATGACAGAACCTATTTAGAGCAGCCAGGTTTGTGGGGTTCTGGGGTGCCCCTCTCCCTGCCCTATAACAGATTGACCTTTTATCATTTACCTTAAGTTTCTATTGATGAATATTACTTATAGCTAGCATCTGACAGAGCTCAAGTCTTTTTCTCTTTTTCATGTTTCGAGACCTAAAGACCAAAATATCTTGTTCATTTGAAGAAGAAAATTGGAAAGATTATTGATGTAACAATGTCATTCCTTTCTTGTTATGCCTTTATAGACCAAAATCATTTGCTGACAGTGCTCTGTCAGAATATTTTAAATGACATACAAATTAGGTTTTTCAGTTTAGTTTGGAAACAAAGCATTGGAATCCCAACTTGGAAAGTTATTCTTTACCTGATCATTACAATTATTTTCCCAGTATTGGCTGTTTACTGCCCTGGCAGTTATATGCGACATCTTAAAATAGTGAGAAGTATTCCTTTTGTAAAGGCCAAGATGGCCGTTGTCTGTGTAATTAAGTAGCCTATGTGATTTCAGTGATTGTTTAATAGTAGTTGGCGCATGGGTGGATGGATGAACAATTAAGGAATGAACACTTGAAAGTGAAATATCATTATAATAGTAATAGTCCAAGCTGGAAACAGTGTGAAACTGATGAGAATTGATATACTCTGTCTATATTCTGAAGTGGATCTAACAGTTTGCTCATGGTTTGAATGTGAGAGAAAAGGAAGAATCAGGTATCACTGTGGTTTTTATCCAAAACTGTATTAGAAGAGTAACTATTTAACAAGGGAGAGTGAGATAAAAAGAATAAAGAAGATACAAGAACAATTCCCTCAGTTCATTTTCTTCTGTACTACATTTTTTTTTAAGTTTAAGCTGTTGAGTTTGTAAATGTCAACCAAAATATAAATATTATGTATTACCTTTATTCTAAGACTTCTTTGAAAGACTTACATAGTCATTTCCTTCCCCACAATATGATTTTTTTTCCTTCTAACTCATGCCCCAAATTCAAACATTTGACAATGTTAATTGTAACTGTTCTTCTCAGTAAACTTAATTATCTGATCTACATGACATAGATATCCATAGCTAGTGAGAGAACCTTAAGCACAGGTTTCATAGTTATGTTTTAATAAAAATTTAGACACATTTTATTTTAAATAAGCCCTCTACAGTTCTTAAGGACTTTAAAAAAAAAAAAAAAGAAAGAAAAAGAAAAGTCAAATATTTGACTTCTG